ATGATTTTTAACAAATTAAATTTTATAAATTATAATATATAATAAATTAATAATAATAATATATTAATATATTATATTAGTAATATACTAATATATATATTATATATTTAATAATATAAGTTATATAATTAATATAATATATTATTTATATATACTAATATTAGGGATGTCAAACTGGCTCGTCATTCGCGAACAGCTCGTGTTCGGCTCGTTCGTTAAGAAACGAAAATGAACAATTTCGAACACGAGCTTATTTCAAACAAACTAATTTTCAAATGGCAAAAACACAAACACAAGCTTTATTCGTTCACGTTCGGTTCGTTTCTACAAGGGGTAAATAGTTATCTTGAAATTTAAAAATAATTTGTTAAAAGATGACTACAAATCATAAATATGAATTAGAATAATAATATAAAATTAGTATTAAGTAGTTATTAAATTTTTATTTAATTATTTTAAAATAAAAAAATTAGTTAGTTATTAAAAATAAAATTCATTTACATACATACCACCCAATTCCTACATATTTACATATAAAATATCTAATAACTCACTTTCATTCATATCACTTAAAATTTTAATATTACATAAAACATATTATAAGGACTTATTTTTAAAAATAAATAAAATGCATATTTCTCTACATAATTTTACAATATGAAAATTTAAAGTTAAAAAAAACATGTAATAATTTTTATGTGGTATAGGCTCTAACGTTTCCATAAATGTTAGTGGTAAAGTAACCCATATAAAAGGAAAAAAATATTACATCAGTACTACACACGTAGAAGTAACGTGCGTAGCCAATGAAATAACGTCACGACATCTCACTCGACATGAAAAAAAAACGGCGCATTAACACGGGGAATATTCCCCCTGTGTTATTCATGTGTTATTGCGTGTTATTCATGTGTTATTGATGTGTTATTGTATTATTATAATACCAAAAATATTCTTAGGACACAATAACACATAAATAACACACAATAACACATGAATAACACGGTAAATATTTCCGAAAGAGAAAAAAATGACGCAGTAACACGGGAGAATATTCTCCCACGTGTTATTCCTGTGTTATTGTGTGTTATTCATGTGTTATTGATGTGTTATTATAACACCAGAAATATTTTCAAGACACAGTAACACTAAAAGCAGGAGAAAAATTTCATGGTTTTTCTTTTTTTTTTTTTTTTTTTTCTCTGAACTGATTTCATTAACTGCGCAGCTTAATCTGCGTGTGTAGTAGATATTTTTTCAGCCGATGAATATTCTCGCAACAAAACTCAACTGCGAGAGAAATTGGACTCGACAAAGCCCGCAAGCTCTCTTCCTTTGATTCCCGATCTGCCAAGCAGTTTTGAGGTTTGATCTGATCCCTCTTGAGATTCAAAGAAATCATTTCATTGTTTTTTTTTTTACTAATTTGCTTTGGTTTTCATCAAATTTAACATTAGTAGATTCATCCTGGTTGGATGGGAACCGGCTCAGATGCCGGCGGAGGTGGCGGCGGCCGAGCTCGAGGTATTGTGCTCAAGGCTCTCGTGCTCTTCGGCGGAGTGCTGCTCTTTAAGAGGCTGAAGAGGTCGATGACCCGATGGGACCATGCTCGAGCCGTTGCACAAGCGATATCTGGCGAGAAGGTAAATACAAAGTTTATTATTCTGGATTTCAATTTACACGATGGATTTGCTTTTTTGTTAGGGTTTATATTTTAATCACTTGGTTGATTGGCTTTGAAGTTATCACGGGAGCAAGCTTGCAGGGATCCTGATAACTATTTTAATCTGAGGTGCGTTTATCGATTTTACTCTGTATTCTATTTATTTGTGCATTTGATTGTTTTAGGGTTTGGGGAGCATGATTCATTTATTCAGTAGTATAGCCAGGTTAAGTTAGTTTTGAGCATATTGAATTTGGATTGATGTTCTTGAAGATTTTGATTTTTATCTGTGCTTGTTGGCTCCATTTTTAAGTTATTTTTGAGTTTGTGGAACTGTTGTATGTAGTCTCCATAGCTGTTGGAGAATATGTAGGGATTTATGAACTTTGTAATCTTATTGTTAGTGGTTTTACATACCTAAATGCTCAAGGTTTGAATTATTTCACCATAGCTGAATCAAAGCATTCAACACATTCACAACTTGACTAACTATGCTAAAATGTGAGAGGTTATTGAATTGGTCTATGATAATAAGATCTACCGCACGGAATTTGAAATATTTGAATGAAAATCTCGTGGACTCAATGGATGCAATGTTTAGGAGAAGTATAAATATTGCTTTTTTTTTTCTAGGAAATTGTTTTTAAAGGGGAAAAATGCGAAGACATTTGGAAAGATTGTCTAGTCATCGAATGTTGGAAAGGATAACAATTGAAATGAGTAGGATTATATAAATGTTGTTAAGGTACTTATAGATGAGGGTATCATAAATGTGATTGATTCTTATGCTCTTCATCTTGGCTTATATGATTGTTTTATTACTTAAATTTTTTGAAGAGAGATGAACTATTTGAATAGATACTTCAGCTAGAATAGATAATTATTGGGGCTGATGTAAACATTCTAATAGGACGGGCTACAGGAGGATTCATGTTTTGAATAGAAGGTGAGTTAGATATGCGATGAGAGAAATTGGACCTGATTTCACAATATTATTTGATATGGAGGTGGGAAACACATACTATGAAAAATGAAAAGAGCATTTACTCACTTCCAAATGAAGCCACCAAGTCATAAATAAACTTAATTTTTATTTAAAAGAAAAGATTTTTTTTTGGTTGAAAATTTAAGTCGATTCTAAGAGATAGTTTGAGTATGGATCACAAAATTGTTAATGTTCTAAGTTTTTGTTATTGAAAAAGCGAGCTCTTTCTCATTTGTATCTTAGTAAGATCACTATGTTTTAATATTTACAAATTGGGAGGATGTGGTTCGAAAATACCAATTTTCATTCTTCTTCCCTTAGCCAATTCTCAATCATTTCTCTTGCGGGGTTCATATCTATTTCTGGTTTTATCTATCGTCTTATTATTAACATATTTTTTTTTATTCTTGCATTCGTTTTTTTAAATTATTAAACACAGAACCATTCATAACTGAAGTCAAATTTTGTCGGGTTGGAGGCATTATTTGTTGCCTTGTTTTGTGTTCTTCCTCCAATTTCTTTTTGTTGACCTCATGAAGTTTTTTATTATATTTATTATTTTTATTTTTAATGAGGTTGTATTGGTTATGGAATTGAATTTATCAACACCATAGTACACTTCCCAATCATTTGGATCGTTAAGTTGAGCTAGAGGTACTTGAGCTGTTTGAGTATTCCAAGCAATGCGTGTTGTAATTAATTGAACCCATGTTATTTAGCTCCAACATCCCATAACCTTACAAGTTAATATACTTAATTGCCTGAGATATTCTGTCAAATTTTCAATTTTGATTGTTACATAAGAAGGGCTGAGTTGTGGCGACCATAATAGTAGAGTATAAATTTTGATGTGTAAAATCAATGAAAAAAAATTCACTCATATGATGGGCAGATGAAATTAGTTTTGAAGGATTAGGAAAGTGAATGAATAAAAGTAATATTGATTGAAGTTGCACAACCTTATTTACATGAAATAGATGTAACATCTCCTACAACAATTAGTAGGAACAACTACTAAAGATGAATTTTTATAAAGCTGACCCAAAATAATTGGAAAAGCCACATTTATATGGAAGATTTATCGAGCAGAAGTTAATAAAGATATAGAATGTTTCATCATTTTCATTTCTTAGGCGGAGACTACTAACCTGAAATAGCAAATAGCTCTTTAATTCAAAGATAATCCCTCTTATAGAAAAGTTTTCTTTGTAAATTTTTTTATGTTAATATTTCTTTTCTATAAAATTGGTTAAATGAACATATGAACCTCTTTAGGGATGATTTGTTGATCTCACTTAATATGAAATATGCTAGTTGTTTTTATGAATGTCTGGAATTTGTGTTGCTATATTCTGAATAATTTATGTAAAAACAATGTTTCATAGTAAGAAAATGTTTTTCATTGAGTTATGATTTTGATTCTAGTATCTTCATGGTGATTTTTATGCATGCATACTACTACACATAAAAATATTTAATTAGGTGAATGCTTTTAATTCATTTTTGAAGATCCGTATAGCAAAGGTTTCATGTTCTATTTTTTTAACACCTTTGTTTTTTCCAGAATGCTTACATGTCCTGCAACAGAGATGGCAGATGGCTCAAGAGTTCTATATTTTGAGCAAGTATGGGTAATTTAAAGTATCAATATATATGATTCTTGTATTTTGTGATGACGACTGTAATTTTATGGTTATGGTTATGGTTATTCTTTTCTTCATTGGCAGGCCTTTTGGAGAAGTCCTCACAAGCCTTTTCGACAAGTATGTTCTCTTTTGTTCAGGTTTTGGAGCATTCTCTTCATCTTATAGCCTGTTCTTCCAGTCTGCTTATCTCCATTATTGTGAGGGCGTTATTTTGTATGATTCTTAGAATTTTCAATGCTTTATTTATCTTATGGCTATTCAGTGTTTTCAAAACGCAAAACATGAAGTGATGCACAAGGGTTTAATTTTTGCTTCAAAACACAAAGATTAAAGTTAATTAACATTTTGATTAATTAAAAATGATTCTAATTTATAATATATAAATAAATATAATAGCACATTCATTAACAGTTATAAAACACGAAATATCTATTAGATGACTTAAAATTTGATGTAGAATAGATAAGAAACATAATGCACATACCTAATTTGAAGATAAACTCCAAGAGTGAACTTACAATTCAAATTTCTAACAAATTCTACATTCTAATAATTTGCTGTAATAATTTGAAACTTGAAAATTATAGAGAAAGTAATGAGCTTGTACACTTCATAATAAAAATATTAGTTTTAATTTATAAATAAATTAATAATGTCTCAACTCTAAAATTTCACAAAATAAACTAAAGAGATGCATTAGTCAACATAAAGCAGAGGCCATTTCCCAGTACAAATTTATTTTCATGCGCCTTTCTCAAAGCTTCATGGATATTACTGAGTTCAAACAAACGTGAACCTCATGTATCAAATAAAAGAAATTAAAAATAGTCAGCTTTAAGTTACAAGCTCTATCGGTTCAAGGGGAACTTTTGTTTAATATAAGAGATTGTCCTTTCTATATCGACTTATTTGGGGTTTACTATTTTCCTAGTTTCATTAAATGCAATCTGATTGGCATGCTTTTTTTTTTTATTTTTTTTTGAGCCTTCGAAACAACTTTTTTTGTTCATAAAGTCAACTGTGTGATCTCATAATTGAATTTGTGAAATTTTTATGATGATATCTTGTTCTGTAAGTTGTCAAATGTCACAATAAACTATAGTTTGTGTACTTGACGAATGACCGGTTATTAATTTCTCCAGAGGTTTTATATTGTCAAGCCTTGCCCAAAGGAGAACAAATGTGATGTGGAGGTGAGAATTTTATTTTCTGAACTCTTCTCAATTCCAGTTTCAAATTTTCTTAATGTATTTATGGCTTGCTTCTTGATTCAAAGGAGGTGCCAATAATTTTTTTAACTAAAATTTATTTGGCACGCCATGCTTATTGTATTAGTTTCATAAATATTGCTCACATCACATGTTGGTTTCTCATGTATTGCCGTTTTTCTATATTGTTTTACTGTAATGGTTGAATTTATAGGTATAAGGCATACACCACTAGTTTTTTTGTGTATATTATATAAAAGCTTGAGGTGGTGAAATTTGGCCTTTCTAATTTACCTTTTTAACTTAAACTATATTAAATATTTGTTTTTTTTAATTATTTGTCACATACTAGAACTAATATAGTTCCTCATTATCTTTATGGTATAATTGACAAATTCTTTATTAAGTGAGATGTGGCATGATTGAAGTTCTTTTTTTTAGTTAGTACACTTACTAGAAAGTGTATGAGAGGAAGATGTGTAGCAAGAGCAAACTGACAAGCGATTAATCTTAATTGATTATATATTGTATGATTGTAGAACACATGATGAAGATTTAGTTTTTTCCTAGTTATTAATGTTATTTTTACATCAAATTTATCTTAATTTTGTGCTTTCCTTCCATCACCAAAACTGAAAGTATGAAATGTGATGGGAGAGTTTTATCCGAAGCGATGTAGGGATAGGGTGATTGTTGGCACTGTTGAGGGTATTGCATGTATGAGTATGAGGTTAAATCGAGAAAACTTAATTTTGTTGTGGCAATGTGCCAAAGTTCAGAGTGCCTTTCAAAGTTTCAACTTGTGAAAGAACATGAATCATGATAATATTTATGCTTATGTGCATTTTTTGAACAATTGTCAATATTCACAATTTTTTTTTTTGGGTTGTATTTTTTGATCTTTTAAGATATTGAACTGAATGGGTTAAAAAATTCTAATTTATTGCATACATAATGTTGGAGATAGATGCCATCTTTCAAAAGTTAAAGAGGATTTTGTTTTTAATTATTATGGTTTGATATGTGATGATGCAAAAAGAACAGTCTTTAATAAATAAAAACATTGATCATCTTTGTTAGTCTTAGCCTAACAATTATGAATTCTTATTCTTTAGTCATTTTTGTTCTGTACAACATGTTTTCTTCAATCTATTCTGTGCACCACTTAGCACAAATTTTTTTTTTTTTTTTTTTTTTGATGTTGCCAATGCTGTTCTTTCTTCCTAACTTTTTATCTGCTAGTCTTATGAGCAAGTCTTCTACCTTTTATTGCCTTATCAAAACCACCTAATTATATTCTCAACTATCTCAACTTTTAGCAAAAGCTAATATATATCCTATGCAAATGAATGAGATAAATTATTATATTTGTTATATTAAGTGTTTAAATAGTTTACATATATACCTTTCTAGAATACTATTTATGTTTTAGGTTTCTTGCAGTTGATTATTAAATAAACATCATATTATCTAATTATTTAACATATTTGGTGGACAGTTGAGTTCATATGCTATCAGAGATACTGAGGAGTACAGAAATTTTTGTGACCGTCCTAATGACCAGAGGCCACATGATGAAGAAATTATTGAGGTATGACATTTGTTTGAATATTTATTTCTGGGCTTCATCATATTCATAAATGATAAGCAAATATGAATATACTTTTGCCTGTTTTAATATTTTCTATAATGTCTTATTTGATAGCTTGTAAATTGGGATTCTGTTTTAGAAAATGATGTTCTTTTACATACCCAGCGCACAATTCTTATGTATTTACATATCTAACCTCTCACTGCATCCAACCATCTCTGAACCGGACTTTAGTTTAGCCACCATTTCTATCCTTTAGGTCTTGGGTTCAAGTCCTTACTCTTCAACTCAACTATTATTTATTAAAAAAAAAAAGGAAGATTTACATACATACCACTCAAATCTTTTGTATTTACATATCTAAACACTTTCTCCAATTTTTACATATCTCCCACCTTACCTGTATATGGAAAGGCATATTTTACTATTTAAAATTAAAATAGATGTATTTTTGACATGATATGAAAGATTGGAGTGGTATAAACATAAAGAGCAAAGTTTAGATGTTGGTACAAAAACAATTTATTCCCTTTTAATATATAATGATATGTTACTATCCTTAAAAAGAGAAAAAAAAACATGCGTTGTGAGCAATATTTATGAAACTTCTATAGTGTACATAATTGCGTGAGTAAGAAAGGTGACATTCTCGATTATATAACCATTCTCAGATTGTATTTAATCATACAATATTCTAAAGAAAGATTTACATAAATACCATTTAATTCCTATATATTTACATATCTAACACCTTACCTGTGTATGAAAATGTGTTTCATTTTTTAAAAATCAAAATATTGGTATTTTCATGTGATATGAAAGATTTAGGTGTTATAAGTGTAAAAAGGCAAAGCTTAGGTGTTACATATATAAATACAAAGGGAATAATTGGGTGCTATGTATGTAAATGCCCCTATTCTAAAATCTAGGGTGACCTAGAGCTGCTCTAAATCCCCTTCTGGTCTCACTATCTCGTCTACATCCCAACAAAGAAAATGGAGTCTAATTTTTTGCATAAAGCATGTAGTACCAGTTAAATTATTATTATTTTGCCAAAATACCTTAACCCTGCATGATTAAAGCATTCTGATCTTTCAACAATATTCAATTTAGGACATTGCAGAGCATCTAACAACAATAAATCTCTCCCGCTGCGAGCGTGGAAAGCGCTGCTTGTACGAGGGTTCAACGGCACCTGAAGGCTTTCCAAACACCTGGGTATGCTACCTGTATTTTGTTTTAATTCTTCCTCCCTTTGTTTTCTTTGCACTCTAATGGTAATGTTCATCATATGTTATAATTTTATTATATATAATTATCTGAATTGGCTTTCTTTGAACCAAAGAATGGAGCATCCTATTGCAAATCGGAGCTAACTATTCATAAAAATGGTGAGGTGCATGCATGGGATCGAGGCTACGATGAAGAAGGCAATCAGGTGTATCCTCCTCTTTCTAAAATTATTTTTTTTTAACAGTGGCAAAATAGTTCCTAATTATTTTAACATTGACCTCTGATTGCCTTTCATGGGGACCATTTTAGCTCAAAATTTTAATGAATCAGGGGACTCTTTTGATATTTCTATAAACTGGACTAAAATGACCCCATGTAATTTAGGGCCCGTTTGGGGCCGCTTATTTGGTGCGGTGGCGTTTTGAAAACGCACCTGATCTGTTTGGGTAAACTGCGTTTTGGCAGTTTATGCGTTTTCAAAATGCAGAAAATAGTGTTTTCACACCACACCTATCTAGATGCGGTGACAGCTTATTGGCAACACTGTTTTTTCCAAAAAAAAAAATTGAAATTTGTAATAGCCACCTCTCACCTAACTTATCAGCAGATTATTCAATATAGCTGCCCAAATAGACCCTTAGTCAGGGATTATTTTAACTTTTTACATTATTAAAATATTATATCAAATATGTGAGATTAATTTTAATGTCAGATGGTTATGATTGACCATCAATGAAATATAATTTTTATAGATGATTTTAGGTGTATTCAGACTTAGGGGGTATTTGGTAGCATATTATTTACAGGATTTAATCATGAATTTAACTTAACCCCGCAAACATTAAAAAAAAAAATCAGAATTAAATTCAAAGCTTAATTAAAGCAAAATATTTTGCTTTTTGTTAATAATCTTCACATTCCGTTATATAAATGATGTAAATCCAGATTTATTAAATTCAACTACTACGAAGCGGATTTAGGAAGATCACTTGTCTTTGCTCGCCGTCTCTCGCAAGATCTGCAAAGCGTCTGTCAAATCCGAGTTTAATAGATTTTGATAAATCATGCATTTTAAGCTGTAGTTGTTATAGTAATATAATTTGGGGACATTTACATTCATACAACCCATTTCGGACGTATTTACATATCTAACACCTAAATTTTATTTTTTACATTTGTCACCCAAATCGTTCATATCAAGTTAAAAATACTATCATTTTAACTTTTTGGAAAAAGGGCCGTATATATATATATATATATATATAAAAATTTAGGTGTTAGATATGTCAATACATAAGAATCAAGTGCCACGTTAATCTTCCTATAAATTTGTTTCTTGTTAAGATTTGAATATTGATGTGTTACTCCATTATTGAAACAGGTGTGGGGACCAAAGGCAGGACCTTATGAGTTCAGACCTGCTACGAATTCAAGCTTGGACGACATGGTCTCACTTGATAATTTTCTTCCCACTAGGCCATTGGAGAAGAAAATTGAGGCTTCATTTGTATTGAATGAATGATGTGTTTCTGTACAGTTTTTAATATAAATTTTGTATTTTAAGTGAATTTTAGTTGTTTGTTATTTATATGGGCTGATTTAATCTACGTCTTCATGAAAACATTGATCTCTGAGCAGCATATTTGGACCAACACGACTTTTAAAGCTCCAAAAAATTCATGCTAAAACAGTCGTTACAAGAAAGGTTTTTTTTTTGGGACATTTACATACATATCACCCCACTCCTATGTATTTAAATACATATTTAATACCTAAATTTGGATATTCTGTTTTATTTTCTTTAGTTGTATATGTTGTTTGTAATTAATCTAATTGGTTAATTCATTTGAGATGATTTGAGATAAAATATGTTAATAATATAGTTTAATTATTTTTATTTTGATGAATTTAATCCCACCGTTAATAAATTTATAATTGAAATCAGACCACTAAGTGAAAATTTAGAAAATAAATCTTTAGCTGTCTGCTTGAAACAAGTTTCAAAGTGTTAAAGATGATAAATAGAACGTAAAAACCAACAATTATTGTCCTATAACTTGTGTTCATTTAAACCAGTATGAAGCTCATTATGTCAAATACAAGCCTGGATTATTTAATTAACAAAAAGCTACAGGTATACCAAGCAGTCGTACCTTTTGTCTCAACTCAGCCAAAAATCGAGTTCATCACTGAACTGCGTGCGAGCTCGCCGGTTTATCAAAATAGATGAGAAAAGTGCGGATCTCCATCGGACCCAGCTCCACCAGAAGCTTGGAAGGATCAACAGGCCCTCCTCTCACAATTTTCTCCCTAGCTGGAGTCCCATCCACTCTCCATTTTAATCTCTTTTTCTCCATTACTGATCTCTCTTGATTAGCAGAGAGGTTTGTCTCAGTAATCTTGAGGATCTGAGAACCAAAAATTTTCTGATTAGGCTCAAATTGTAGTGCAGGATTGTTTAATCATGGAGGTTGGGTTCAGCTTATACCTTCTTTCCAGGAAATATCTTATTAAGATCAACGGTGGCCATTATAGAGAGATCCTTGTCCTCATCCACCTTTCAGAATGCAGTGAAACAAAAGGATTTAAGAACAGTTTATCATCCAAATGTCTCAAGATAGCAGGAAGATCGAAGCTACAATTGGCATCAAATAATACAGGGAGGAGTAAGGGGGACAACCTCATAAAGATGCGCCAATCTAAGAAGAACAGTTCCATCTTTCAGAACCTGGGAAGGGATTATAAATAGGAAAAAAAAGATATTTAGATAATTCTGGAAAAATTCTTTAGAAGAAACATTAGTTGCATCAAGCTATATGCTGGAACAAAACATTATTAATCATATAGTGTTCTTAACTTTAGTATTTTCAAACTTTCTGTTTGGGAAAAAAATTATTACATACGGACTCCGGATGCATATGGAGTCCAATGGTAGGGCATCACGTGTCAAGTGGGCCTCACCACTGACTAATGCAAGTGTATTGCGGTGGGGCCCACTTGACACATGGCGCCCCATCATTGGACTCGGGAGTCTTGATGTAAAATTGCGTTCGGAGTCTGGATGTAATATTTTCTTCTGTTTGGGAAATGGATTTGGAAGTATCTAAGAGGTTAATCCATCCAAAAAAATCATTGGAAAGCGGAATTGCCTGGCAAACTATAGGAGGAAAATCCATCCCATCTTAGTGTTTTTAGTTTCATTAAGCTTGATGTATAATTTATGCCAGAGAGGCCATTCAACATGGTACCTGGAGGGTAATCATAGCAACATTGCCTGGTAAACTATAGGACTCCATTGCCGAGAATGTTGAGACATGAGAATTCGCCCAGTTACCTCCATCCTGTGCAGAAAAGTAATTTAAAACCAGATAAACAAAAATAAATTACAATTTAAAGAGAATGACACAAAAAACCTGCACTGTGAATGCAACTAGGAGAGGGGAATATATCTCCTGTCCAGTAGTTCGGCGCCAATTAGCACCCTCCCCCAACGGATCAATTCTAAGATAAAATTTTCCCTGAACCTGTTATAGGGTGAAATATGTATCAAATTCGTTCACATTATTTGCATTGATAATGCAAACTGCACAAAAATATAAATAGACATATATATATATTTTGGATTTTTACAAGAATGTTAAGGATTTGGAGTTCAAAAGCAATTACTTACTGAAAAAATGATTGATTAGAAAGCTAAAAATGAAACAATAGAATTGACAAAAGCTTATCCGGCTGTCAGATAAATACTGTGCATAATCAAAACCAGGTGCGCAATTTAGAATGGTGAAGTAAGGTTCGTGGGAGAATCAAATCAGGACCGTGGCTCTGAAGTTCTCGGATATGTGAAGCGACATTCTTAAGAGTTTTAAAAGAACAGAGAAATGATATCAAAAGAAGAAGGAAAAGCAAAGAAACAGGGAAGAAAAACTTATTTTATTCAACTTCAATTTCTGTTACATACAGCTCGTTATATAGATTACATGAATGGCAAACTTGTAAATATGTCTAATAACTTAGACAATTTACATGAATAGGGATATAAATAGACTTGATAGTGAAATGAAACAAACCTAGCTATTACATCTTTTAGGAGGGATTGACCGGGGTCTGGAGGAGAGGAGAGGAGCTCGATGGAGGGAAATCTCAGATCAAAGCTTTCAGTGAAGGCAGATAAGTCCTTTTACCCCCATTTCAAGTTGAGGATCACGTGACCTGATGGTCAACTTGGTTGTAAGCTCTAGATGTATTTTGGCAGTTAGGGCTTTCGTGAGGATGTCGGTTGGCTAACCTTGTGTCATGTTATGTTGAAGACGGATATGTTTTAGCTTGATATGTTCCCATATAAAGTGATAATCAACCTTGATGTGCTTTGTTCTTGCGTGAAAATCCGGATTGTGAGCTAGCACAATGACAAATGCACTATAGCCGAAGATCTTGGTAGGTTGTGATGGTATCCCAGTTAGTTCTTCCAATAGTCTTTAAAGACACAAAATTTCTATTGTGGTGGTTTCTAGTGCGGTATTCGGCTTCTGTCCAGGATCTTGCAACCGTGTTGTTTCTTTAATGACGAAGAGATTAAATTGGGTCTGAGATAAACACAATAACCTATAATAGATTTTCTGTCACTGTTGTTGCTTGCCCAGTTTGCATCGGCATATGCAGAGAAGGAGAGAGACCCGCTAGTGATAGGCATACCATAATTGGATGTGCCATTGAGATGACGCAATAGCCTTTTAAGCAGTTGCAAATGAGTGGTGTGAGGTTCATGCATATGTTGATTTACACTGAATGTGATTTCTGGTCTGGTTACAGTGAGATATTGTAAAGCTCCAACGAGGTGCCTATAGTGCTGTGGATTTGACAGAGGTGATGAAGAAAGGGCGGGCTTGGAAGGATGAAGTAGTAAAGGAGTTAAAATAGCTTTTGATTGCATCATTCTTGCTTTAGTTAATAAATTTGATAAATATTTTGTTTAATGTAAAAGCTAACATTATTAGTTTTATCTAGGCCTAAGAAATTTGACAGATTACCTAATTGCTTCAAGTTTAATTGAAGACCTAATGTTTGTACTAATTTTGAAATTTCAGTTGGAGAATTTCCAATGATAAGAATGTCATCTGCATAAATGAATAAATAAGGGTTTTGCTATGCTGAAATATAAGTAGGGAGTGATCTGAGGTGCTTAATTTAAGTTTTTGAGTTTATAAAATATTACAAAAAAATGATTACCATTGTTGTGGTGTTTGTTCAAGTCCATAAACAACTTTATTCAATTCGCAAACATAATGTGGATAGTTGTTATCTTAAAATCTGAAAGGTTGAGATATATATGATGTCATCAAGTTTGTCGTGTAAAAAGGCATTTGAGACATCCAATTGTTGTATGTCTCAATTTTCAGTGGTGACTAAAGTAATGCAAATTCTAATAGTTGAAAATTTAGCAAGTGGGTTAAATGTTTCGTTATAATCAATATTTGGTTGTTGCTTGAATCCTTGAGCAACTAATCTGGCTTTGTGAGTCTGTGACGAGCAATAGTGTCATCTGTGTGATACTTAATCCAAAAAGTTCATTTGCATCCCATAACGATTTGGTGATAACATGGTGGAACTAAAGTCCAAGTTCCTTGTTTTTGTAGCGCCGTTAATTCATCGGACATGGCTTTGTGCTAAGGGTTTTGTTGAATAGCTTGTTTAAAGATTACAGGAGTATAAAGGAAACCTCCCTTGCATGCTCTAGGGTACAAGAGTATACAATTTTTTTTCAACTAAAACCTCATGAAATGCACTAGAAATATTTAGAACAATATCTAATGTCATTTGGTTAATGTTTTGTTGCACATATTGACGGTTTTTTCTTTGAAATTTCCCTTGCATATTGAGGGTACAAAAGTATTAATTTTTTTAAATTAAAATCTCATGTAAGACCTTAGAGATATTTAGAACAATTTTTAATGTAATTTGACTTATATTTTGTTGCACATATTGATAGTTATCCCTGTTAAACTTTCCTTATATGATTGAAGCTACAAATTTTTTTTTCCAACTAAAATCTCACGTAAGACTCTAAAAATATATAGAACAATGTCTAATATTATTTGCCGTATGTTTTGCTGCACATATTGATGATTTTCCCATTGAAATTTTCTTTGTATACTTGAGAATACTACAAGATAATATTTTTTTCCATTAAAACCTCATGTAAAACTCTAGAAATATTTAGAACAATTTCTAAAGCCATTTGACTCAATATTTGTTGTTCTATTTGCGGTTTCTTTTCTAAAGTTTCCCTCACATATTTGAGGGTACAAATTTTTTATTTAATTAAAATCTCATGTAATGCTCTAAAAATGTTTAAAACAATATATATTGTCATTTATCTAATAGTTGTGGCTTTTATTTGTGGCTTCCCTTTAAAATTTTAGTTGCATGCATGCTTGAATAATTAAATTTTATATTAAATTAAAACCTCATGTAAAGCTCCAGAAGTGTTTAAAACAATGTCTAAAGACTATATGACTCATATTTTGCTGATTCTATTTGTGGTTTGTTATTCAAATTATTTTTGCATGTATGAGAGTACACGACAGTGCAAGAAAACTATAAGAGAGTACCATATTATGTGTTGAACATTTTTATTATTTTTCTATTTTGTTTTATACCCGAGTATGTTTTTTAATCCCATCTTCACTTACATTCTATCAACATTTAATGTCTTTATGTTTTATTGCTTATGTTTGTACAGGAAAATATCTCAATTCAAAATCATAAATCAATGCATGTCTTCTACGATGAGATCAGCGTGTCATTCACTATCTGAATACATGACTAAAAAAATTATCAATATGATGAAAAACCTGATGTTGGTCAGTTTACAAAGCTGTCTGTCTTCCCATAGGACAATGTCTTTCTGGGATGCAGAAAAGCAAGATTTCAATATTGGAGGCAATTGCGTGGAAGATGTGGCATTCGCTCGTAGCCATGCCTAATAGAGAACTTAAATGACACGGTTCCCCAAATTCAAAATTCAAAGCCGCTTACTTTAAGAATCAAATGGAGAAAGTAAAAAACTATCAGTCATCTGAGACATTTGTGAGCATGTGCATAAAATTTATGTTGACAAACTTATTCTTCTCTTATGATAGTTACACGATTCCTAGAGGCCTTTGCATTTATGCTGAGAATCTTCATCGATTCCCTTCCTACAACTAGTCATTAATTTTTTTAAATTTCCTAGTTGGTCAATTTGACGTCATCGTCGAGAAATTAATATTGAAGAAAGAACATGCGTATATGAATGATTTCATACCGCTCTTACTAGTGAATATATTAACTCTATCAAACAATTTATATTTCTTAGAGATTTAATCTAACATTTGTGAGTTGTTCGCAGATTTGATTTTTCGAACATACTTTTTTGGTAATTTTCCGAGCATCTGGTTCAAGGCCACGTATGCTGAGATGATCTGATGTTTCTTTATGGAGAAGAAAACCCAACTCTGAGCTATTTTCTAGAATAAGCTCCGATCAAATAACATCTCTTTGTTTTAGTAGTCGAGCGTATAAACTTTGATTTTGGAAAACTTATTAATTGGATTATATGGTTAATTCAGGTTTCTGTAAATATAAAAGACAATTCTGACGAAGTGATAATTTTACTTAGATCAAGAACTTCATATCATCTACACACCTCACCCCTATTTCTCCGATATATAATCATAGTATACCATCTCATTATACAACACATCCGCTAGCAACATCACCTCCCATGCCCCAACTATAGATGTAGTTGAGTTAGTTAACAATATCGTTGATAAAAGATTCAATGAATTGATGACTAAATTCACTGATTTTAAAACTTCAATCATCAACAAATAAAATGAATTTGATTCAAGAATAAAGTCTACGGAGGAAAGCTACAATAAAAAACCATAATACACCACTTCATTCAGTTACATTGTTTGACGTGCGAAGGCTTGCCAAATAAGAAAAATGAAGAAATTTAGTTCTTCTTTTCTCGTAGAATACATGAATATAATAAAAAAAAAATTCAAAAATGAATTATCACAAACTGATGAAAGTAAATTTCATGAAATTAAAAATTTAATGGATGTAGCACCTGTATTTGAAAATTAGAAAGATGACATGGTGGTGGATGCAGTTGAGCACACAAAAATTGATGATGAAAAAATAATTATCTAAATATTGTTATACGCCCATGAGCATGTAGCATTACTTCATGCACAATACTAAATTGGTGTGATTTTATTTAAGTAAAATAATAATGAAAGACAATAACTAGAGAAAAAAACACTGATAATAGTTCAATATAATGAAAATATAAATTTCTTATACAGTTAACTTAATATTATTATGTGTGCATAAAAATGTAGAGTTATTTTATATATAATGTTAATTTGATTTATTTTTATTGAAGCTAAATATTAATGAAGTCCATGAGGCAGAGGAAGAAATAATGACGTCGCATGAATATAAGGAAAAAAAAAAATCTTATACTTCATTTTCT